CGCATCTTCTTCTGCATATATACTCCACTTCTATCTTGAAGAAACCGGCTTCTGGCATGGACCTTGCTGTTCTTCCTTCATACCAAGCCCTGACTTCGCAACGAAGAGTGGGCCTACAATGTGCCGTCCATGAAGCTGCACTCTGCAGAATAGAGTGAATCTGGTCTCAGATCAAGCACAATATACTGGTGTAGAAGCCATGTCCGGATCACAGACAACTACTACATGCCAACTCTATCCTAACTCAATGTCTCATCCCCATCCAGAAACCAAAGCAACGCCATCTATCTCTAAAACACTACTCAATAGACCCCATCGAAACTCATACAAGCGTCAAACTGGCCTCCACATACGAACGAAAAGACCACCTATCCTCAACTCTAACCTGAACGATCATACCACTCCAACAGGGCAGCTCGCATTCCAGAACAGCGTCTCCTTCCTCTCAGCAAGATCTTCAGCCCAATCACAACTTCGGTCGGCAACAGGATCATTTAAGCGACATCCAGGCATGTTGACCTCGACGCCCTAAGCGCCGCGGTATGCTCTCCCACGCAATGACGAGCCATTCTCCTCTTCTCTCCTCTCCACAGGATACTATTTCTGGACTCTGAACGATAATTCGGCCGTATCCGCCAACCAGGCTTCGGCGGGGCATTCCGAGTCTTGGAGATGCAGCAAGGGGCTATCTCGCTGGTGTTATAGTTATACGCCTCCTGCAGTATGTGCGTATGTAGTCTGAGCTTTATCCGGGAAGGGGGCTCCCGGTGGCTTAAGGGATGGCGCTCTGCTACCGACTATACTTGGTAGGTGCAACGCAATTGCGGAGGGAAGTAAAGCGAAGGTGCTTGAGCCGAGAAGGTCCAGAAGAAAGACTTAGTTCAAACTATGGATGTTAGATCCGTCTATATGTTTCCGTGGAAGGAATGGTTGCTATCATGTATTCGAAGATATATTTGAACACTAGCTGGCGGAATATATTATGTTACTATTGAGGACTATCAGACTACAGGGTCGCGTAATCCGAATATATATATATCGATTCCACCCCACTAGCACGGAAAATAGAATAGTCATAGTTATTGGCATTCAATTCTACCATATATCTATATCTGCCGATTGTTTGTGCAGTGTGATTGACTCCTAGTTGGTCTGCCAACACTATTTCTGCGAGAGGTTTCCTGGGCTGATTTTGGATGTTGATGCTTTGCCAGAGTTATGTTCGATTCGTTTGCCAGTAGAGCTGTAGTCTTTCTCACGGCCGTGGAAGCGTCGGAGCTTATCAATTCGATCTGCTTCAAGCCTTGGCTGTGGTCTTCCGAAATTGTATATCTCACCATCATTTTGGGACTAACAGCGAGGATTAGTGATCTGTAGGACTAGGAATGAACCATCGAAGAGCGTACGTGTTGTTCTTCACCGGTACTGAATGGTTCGCAATGGAATAGAGGGAAGCTGTAGAGATACTAGCCGTAGGTATACTTGGTGCTGTCTCAAGAACGCCTTGCTGACGATGGGCCTGTTGTGCTTGATCTTTCTGCGCCTCCAATTGGACTTGTTCCATCTCAAAGGCTAGCTGCTCCTCACGATGCTGCTGGGACATCGTCATGCCCCGCGGGAACTTCTTTAACTGTAGATATGGGTCATGTATACTATCAGATGACACGGTTCCATTGATTGGAGTTTCTTTTGACGTAGCAGCCGCTGCCTCTCCAGCGGTTACACGCCCCACAGACACACTGTTAAGTAGTTTAAATAGTTCTTGTCGTTCTCGTACCATCCGTTCAAAGTCTCCTTCGCAAAACAGCTGATCCTCCTTAGTGAAGGGCGTGGCGAAGACGCTTGATATTTCTGTGGCCGAGAACCCGATATTAATACCAACTTCAATCAGCGACGCATAAGAGAGGAAACTTCATAAGTACCGTTTCTTGATTTTCCCCGCCCGAGTCCCTGTTAGCCTCCCTCTTATTGGACTGAGGTCCGAGCCACCGCCAGCCGTACAGGAGGCCGTCCATCACCTGAATCCCCGATCCACCACTTTCCGTACAGGTGACATGGGCGGAAGGTCCGTAGTTGAGGGTTTGCTGGCGGCTTCCATTTTGTTGCCAATTGCTTCCGGGCCAATTCCCCCCGGGTACCAGGAAAGGCAACAGAAGATTTATCGGACTGTAATACATCGTAGTCTGGGTTGATATCTTGGTCCCACGAACATGGGCGGTTGAAATCCTGTGACCGTCAATTACATATGTTTACTCGCAGGGTGGTCATACAGCTTGACTCTCTGGTGGATTTTCCGGATGAACGAGGGTCGATAAGTCGTACTCTGGCACAGGCATCAAATTGGAAAGTTCGAACTGCAACCCCCGAGCAGTCAGAGATTGTTGTGTGTGCGATGACTCTTGGGACAATGCAAACTGCGGGAGCCAGTGTCCTCGAGTGTCCTCGTCGTGGTACTCTCGTCTCTGCCTCACCCTAGTCTTCCGAATTTCTGTTCTATGCTGAAGTTCCCCTGCAGCTCGTTTGTCTTTTTTTTGTACAGACTTGCGAATGGGACTGGATCCAGATTGATTGCTCAGTAGCCGGGCCAAATCCCGTGAGCACTTTCGCCAGGTTTGCAGGAGCTGGGTGCAAAACATCGGGGTTCCTGCGCTTGGATGGGATGTCAACTGTCGCGCGCCGGCGCTTCTCAGTTGTGAGGGATATATCCATGAGGGTATGGGGTGATACGTAGTCTCCCGGGTGAGGATACCGCGTCTAGAAGTGGCTTTCAAAAAGACAATTTTGTTGATGGGTTCGGGAAAGGTCATCCAGTGTGTGGTGAGGCTGAGGTTGGGGCTTGGATTCATCGTTAGCCTTAGCAGCCCAACCATGCATGCTCACGTGCATGTCGGAGCAGCCAACAGTTCTTCGATGCAAACTCCTCTCTAGGACTAACCCCTTCGTCTATTGCGCTGTGGAGACAGACAATGACCACGACGGTCCTCTCAGTTGACGACTACTGCGTCGCTATTGTATGTGCCTTGGACAAGGAGCTCTTCGCAGTTAGGGCACTCTTCGACCAGCGACACCGTGGTTTGCCCAAACCTCCTCAAGATCCCAACCACTACGCGCTGGGACAGATAGGGACAAATAATATCGTGGCTGCATCCCTTCCTGTTGGTGAATACGGTGGCAACTCGGCATCGAGCGTGGTGACCCATTTGTTGCGAAGCTTCCATTTTGTCCGCTTCTGTTTACTAGTGGGTATTGGAGGAGGCGCGCCGTCCCGATTGCACGATATTCGACTCGGAGATGTAGTGGTCAGCCAGCCGACTGGAACATCTCCGGGTGTCTTACAATACGACTTGGGAAAGACCATGCAAGACGGGTCCTTCGTTCCAACAGGATCATTACAGAGGCCGCCGCGGGTTCTGCTGACTGCTGTCAGTAGCATCAAGTCGGACCCTGATCTCTCTGCAAACCCTCTTTCCAAATACATAGAGCGAATAACACAGCTGAAACCCGACTATCGATACCCGGGACGCCATCTCGACATGTTATTTGCGCCAGACACAGAGCACAATATCGCAGAGACGACATGCAAGCGGTGCAACGGACCCTGGGTCAAGCGACGCCATAGAGCTACTACTCAACCCGTCATCCACTATGGTCTAATAGCATCAGGAAACCAAGTCGTGAAGAGCCCTCATCTTAGGGACAGGCTTCGGGATGAGCATGAGATCTTGTGCTTCGAAATGGAGGCAGCTGGAGTCATGAACTCCATTCCGTGTCTTGTTATCCGAGGAATCTCTGACTATGCTGATTCGCATAAAAACAGCATATGGCAGGAATATGCTTCCGCCACGGCTGCAGCGTATTCAAAATTATTACTCACACATTTTCAGTTCTCAATTTACTCCAGTATCGCTGTGGTCGATCGGAGTATCGAAGACCCAACGTTGGAGTCTCCACCTGAGGAGAACAAGGCCATGAAGCAAATCGACCCAGTGACGAGTCCAGAAAAAAGACTGTTGGAATGCGAGTCTTTTGCTCGGAGACTTCCATCTTGGGATGATTGGCCAGTGAATGTAGTAAACTTACTGTCGTGTCTCCAACAATGTAAATCAGCGCCGACGTCAGCGTTGTACGTGGTGAAAACCAGCATGGCTGATGCTAAACGGTCCAGAGACTTAGTATCTGAAGTCTCTGCATTCCTACGGTCTGTGGCTTCCTATCGGGTCATCTACTCCTTGTCCTCGCCAATTACCGGCTTCGATACTGGTTTTGAGATTCTTAGGAGTCTGATTTCACAAGTACTCCTACATCAGTCTGACGCCCGATTGCCCATGATAGCTACAGACTGCCATGAAGAATCTCTTTTCAACTTGCTAGACTCAGCACTGTCCCGAATTCGCGAATGTTTCTTCATTATTGAACTGGATGCATCGCGATTTTCTCTACGCCTCATGCAGCTGTTCCTTGACACAATTGGCAGCCCCAGTTCGTCGATCAAAGTCATCCCAATGACATATGACAAAGGTATACAAATTTCTTCAAGTCCTGGTATCTCGGGCTTAGTACTGTCGTCTTGCCTCCCTATCCCTCTGCCCCAGAGCAAGCGGAAGGCTGTGGGTAAGAAATCTGCGTTGTGGCGTAAATTGAGACCGCGTTTTGGTGGAGATAGATAGATATATGTATTATAAATGATTCATCCATGTATTTAACGTATACCAGGGACGAATACCCTGACAAGACCACGAGATTGGACTGATTCTTCATGGCTAAAATTCAGTTAGATGGCAACATCCCTCAGCCTCCTTGTATCAGCCTCGTCGTCTGCCACGTCACTTCTTCAACCTCACCCACAATCGAGCTCGCTGTCCGCAAGCTAGGAATATTTCTACTTTACTCTGCTACGAAGTATATTTCTAAGCGGCAGTTGTCCTATCTTACGTATATCTCTTTTCAACTACAACATGAAAGACGTGGATGGCGATCGAGGCAAACGTCGACGGTACACCATTCCAACGCAAATTTTAGAGAGCACAACCATCACAATCCACACAGTGAGTTGCGATAGAAGAAACCTCCATGCACATCATCCTCTGGAAGAAAACTACCTGGATATACCTCGCCTCTTCCGCGGAGACAGCAAAGCAAGCCCATTGAGAGGGAAGATCCCACTCGGTGAAATCGACGAGCTGCTCGAAGAAAACGATAATGCTGGCATTATAATCCACAGGATATACAGCTGCAATGAATATCACGATGCAGTTGACGCCTTGTTCGAGCCTCTACCGCGTCCAAAGCACCCAAAATTAGGCCCTTTGATGGCTTACTTTTTCTGTTTGCTAGAAGACGGAAAAGAAGCTGTACCAGTATCTAAGGAGGTGACGTTGGCATCTATCGACTTGAAAGAAGCGCTCTCAGAACTCACTGGGATGGATATGGATAGTCTCAAGAACCTGGGCGCCACAGACAACATGAGAGAGCTCTACCACCAGTTTTACTTCCACCGGCAGAATGGACACACAGAAATGTCTAGGCTGAATTATTCAAAGAAAGAGCAGCTCGAGGTCTTCAAGCTGTTCATGGAACAAACCTTTGGCACCGAATACGCCGAGGCAGACGCACAATTCGCCCAGGGGCGAGTAACCCAAAGACACCTGCGAAAGCTCTCCTGTCCAGATGAGATAGTTGTCAGGCGAAATGATGGGCAGCCTATGGCTTACAAGGTCAAGCAGAGCCACGAGCGCGCGTCTGGCGCGATTGGTCTCATTTGTCAGTCGTGGAACTTTGACGGCAAGTTTTACGAAGCTACATCGTATTTCGAGCTTTCTTGGCCAGCGGATAGTACAGAACTCGATATTGCAGAACTGGAGATATATCCACTCCAGTTTGACACCTCGGGCCTAGCAGAAAGACTGCGCATGCGTGGAGAAGTCTTCTGGCAATGTCGACAAAGGAAGTACGTAGCGTACTCGCCGCCACAAGCTACCATTGAGTTCCAAACGGTAAGTTGATTCAATTGACTCTGCATTGTTGGGACCTGGCTAATTAAACAACAAGATAAACCCACGGTACATGGTGGACATACTTACATATGAGCAAATCCACCCAGCAGGACAGACGCCCGAACGCCAGTATGGCGGACCGGATGTAGAGGATGAAGAACCACCAGAAGACCATTTCTTATTACTCCTCCCTGCCACCATCCGTGGCTTTGGCTTTCACGACAAGAAATGGCGTAAGCATTCCATCCAGAACGCGCTCATGCTTCGTCTGACTTCACACAGAAACACTCCAAATGGAGCGCATTAAGGATATCAGTTGGAATGTGGAAGCTTTCAATCATTTAGTTCTCCGCCATATAAAGAAAGAGCTCATACAGCCCTCATTGCCTCTCACACAGGAAGCCCTTCGAGCCGAGCCGACGTCATCGAAGGAAAAGGCAACGGGCTTGTGCTCCTTCTTCACGGTGGCCCCGGAACAGGCAAAACTCTTACAGCTGAGTCTGTTGCAGAGCTCACCCACCGTCCGCTGTACAGAGTGACCTGCGGTGATATAGGGACAAATGCCGAAGACGTGGAAGGGTACTTGGAGACAGTCTTCTATCTGGGAAAGAAATGGAACTGCGTCGTCTTACTCGACGAGGCAGATATCTTTCTTGAGGAAAGAAAGCCCACGGATTTGCACAGAAATGCCCTGGTTTCTGTTTTTCTTAGGGTGCTGGAGTATTACGAAGGCATTCTTATCCTCACGTCCAACCGCATTGGAACTTTCGATGAGGCGTTCAAATCACGAGTTCATCTGACACTACATTATCCACCTCTCAAACAGTCTGGCCGTCGTCAGATTTGGAACAACTTCATAAACAGATTGCAGGACTCGGGAATTGAGGCCCGTCTTGACGAGCTCCGTGATAAAGTCGATCGCCTGAGTCTCAATGAACTGAATGGGAGAGAAATCCGGAATGCGATCAAAACGGCCACACTCTTGGCGCAGTTTCGAGGGGATATACTGGGATACAGTCACCTGAAGGAGGTGATCAAAGTGTCCAATGAATTTGAACGGTATCTGACGGATATTCATGGCCATAGCTCATCAGACTGGGCCAAAGCGCAGGGCACAAGGGCCGATTGACCTACTTGTATCGCTAGAGGAGAAAAGGGATGTGTTTATATTTGCAACTAATCACGATATGGCCACGACTTCTCCCACTCGACTCTCTCCTCTTGAGAGCGTGCCAGATCGTCAATCATTTCAGCTTTGGCCTTGCCCATGTGCATTTTCACTTGATCATATTGATCATGAGGGACAACACCTTTCTCCGGCCATAGTTGACCCAATGATTCTTTCAATTTCTGCATTAGGTCCATAGCTCTTATAGCGCCAGTGGCGTCTTCAGCAATAGCCTCCGCTTCCTCAGTGGAAAACCTGAGCGGAAATGTCGGGTTTCCCACTGCCTGGACACCCGGAAGACTAGACCACTCACTTTCCAGCTCAAGAATCCTACTCTGATGTAACGCCTCCCCGTCGACAAGAAGATTTTGTGAAAGTAGCGTGATGTCGAAACTGGAGGTCTGTCTGAATTCCATGACCTTGAAGAACCTTTTGTTATTTGCATACATGAACCTTCGATATAACGCAGAGAGTGACATATTCAGGTACAGGCTCTGGGCTCTGACTTGTTCCACAGTATCGAGTTGGTCGAAATTCTCTGGAAATGGGGGCGGGTCCAAGCCGGCGTACGAGGGGCCTTCATAATTAAGAAAATATGGCTGGCGAGCTTGATCAAAGAGTGGCAGGATTTCGCTCGATTGCCAATCAATGATACCTATCACTTCTGATGGTCTTTCAGGGTGCACAAAGATATTCTCAGTGTGTAGGTCTGGGTGCCACAAGACAGGCGACGAAATCGCTTTGTCCACCGGTAAGAGAAATTTGAGAACACGTAGGTAATTCTCGAGTGCGGCTATCTTTTCGAGCGTGTAGGGGTATATGTGCCGGGGCCGTATAAGGACAGGGGCGATTCAGGTAGTTGAGCCATGTTCTGTACACAAGCAATCTCTCGATGTCCAACCGCTGACTTGTACGGTTCAACATCATTCCCTGGATTCCATATGAGCAGATGAGCCTAGTATGCTTGTAAAGGATGGCTTACATGGGCCTCGATCGAAGTCCAATGTGATCCGCCCGTCATCAAAAAACTCTCGACCCGTTGACGGACCGACAGTAAACCGCAGATCTTCAATTTCAGTGCCATCCTCTTGAACAAGAACACATCCGGAAGCATCATCCAGACCTGAAGAGTAGTATAGACTCCCAATTTTGGTAAATGATGTCGACATCCAGGCTTTCTGGTATCTTGAGATAGATTTCACGACTTCAAACCTTTGCTTGATATCTAGTTTTGGCCAAACTTTTTTAAGTTGAACCCCTGCGACCTTCTCCATAATTATGTACTCGGCACCAACAGGGTTTTCTGCTGCTTTAGAACTCTAGGTACCTGGGTCCCAAGCTTCGTCCTTACCTGGAGCAAACATTAAGATAGGACCAAGCATGGGATCCTCAAGTGGCTTACAAAATCCATCGTTGCCACTTCGCTGGCCGTAGTATATTGAGCCCGCCCAGCATTGGGATTTGAGACTTTGCCCACCACTTGCGTACCGTTCTGCATCGTGAAAAGAAATGTCTTATTAAAGTTCCCATCAGGGAATTTGTCAATGCGGACACATTCTGCCAGTGTACAGCCAACGGACTCGGCAGCACACTTTGCCAATGCATTCATATCAAACTTAGCGTGACGCATGGCCATTTCGTGAGACTCATTCGAGACAAAGCGGCCTCTCGTGTAGCGAAAGAAGCTAGGGTAGCTGTTCCACTCTGTATGGTTTGACCGCCTCCCCTTGACCCTCAGTTGACTTCTAAAAGTCGACAAGGGCGTTGCTCTTTCCCCCGTCAATATAGAATGGAAGTTGCGAAGTATGAGATAGGGAGACTTCCTTAGACGGCGTACGATAATAGGTATAGAAGAAAGTAGTGGAACTGAAGTAGATCGCAGTCAATTCATCCCAGTATCCTCTGAGTCCAGGTATGTTCTTGCAGCATGCCCAATCGATTGCGGTATGCCAGAGACGTCCGGGTCTCCTTAGAAGCGGCCGAAAGGAGGCTCATGCGCATTGAGCGCTCCTTGCGTTAGATTGAGAATTGGATGAGGGAAAATAAATTGCGTTAGAACTAGAGGGGTCTCGTGAGATTACCAAAAAGACTGTTTATAGAGTCGTGGTTTTGTGTACTCTATAGGGGGTGATTGCGTTTATATGCGCTTAGTCAGTATGCAACCTCAGGCACCAGGATTTGGCGCTAACCCGATCAGGCCGACAGCTCATAATTTTTCGGAGCTCTGGATGCACCGACAACGAATCAGTACAGCTCTTCCACCAGCAACAGCGGTGGTTTTCCAATTCCTGCTGAAAGAATTAGGTGGTGCTAACATAACACCTGAACTATAAAAAGAGAAGAAAGCCATTCACCACCTTTCGCAATGGCGCAGGACCATGTCGGCTCCAAGAAGCGGCGCCGCGAGCCGGTCAACGTCGATACTAGACTGGTCGAGATCTATGAAGACCTCGCCAGTGAGAAAGATGAAATCCGGCTGAAGGCCGCTCAAGCACTGGTATCCCAGTTCACGCCCGACAAGAACCCTGATGATGCGCAGATCAAGAAAGTGTTGCAGAGACTCTTCCGCGGTCTCTGCAGCAGCCGCAAGGCCGCGCGCATCGGTTTCTCAATCGCCCTGACGGAGATCTTGTCGCAAGTGTTTGCGAACCCCAAGGAATCGTCAGAACTGACCATCTCGGCTGTCGTGAATATGTGGGAATCCCAATCAAATGCTTCGGGCAGCGAGTCGGGCCAGGTACGGACAATTTTAACGTTACATTCTCGCAATGCTTTTGCTAATGCCCTTGCAGGAACAACGAGACCACCACTTTGGACGTCTCTTCGGCGCAGAGGCCATCATCAAGTCTTCTGTTCTGTTCAAACCGCAGGCTCCTTTCCCCGAGTGGCTCAAGGTCCTGGATCTGGTTTTTGACCTTGCCAAGAAGAAGCCGTGGATCCGGGAGGAGTGCGGCTGGATCCTCTATCGCTGTATCTACGAACTGGCTTCCCAAAAGTCCGACGCCAAATTCACGGAAAGCATTCTCGAACGCCTGGCCTCTAACGACCTCGCCCGCACGCCCGAGGGTGTTTCTATCTGGTTAGCTGCCAAGGAATTGTTCCCGAAGGCCAAATTCCCCAGCAAAGTCTGGAAGCATGACGACCCGCTGGATTCTCGCGAGAGAACCCAGCTCACCAAGGTCATGAAGGAGTCTTCGTCCACCGACTCGGCAGGCGGAAGCCAAGAGAAGAACGTCAAGTCTTCTGGCGTGTGGAATTCCAAACTCCATTTCGCCTGGGATGTCATCATATCGAAGCTGGATGTCTCGGAGAGCGAGAAGTCTAAGAGCAAGGGCTCCTCTCTTACTTTCATCGACTTCTGGACTGAAGTTGTTGACAGTGAGTCTCCCCCCAAGTTACGCATGACATCAATCTAACCTATATGCAGATGGACTATTCGCAGCTGCCTCATCCGAAGAACGCAAATACTGGGGCTTCCTGCTCTTCGTCAAGGTTCTCAACGAGCGTCCCTTGAAGCTAGCCTCCCAAGTGTTCACCAAGAACCTCGTACGCTGCCTGACCAACCAACTCGCCGTCGAGGACCGCTATCTCCACAAGATGGCAGTCAAGGCTGCCAAGACGATGCAGACCCGCGTGTCGAAGGAGCCCGAATTCGCCGCCGCCTGCATCAGCGGACTGATGGGCTCAGCCGGTGCCGTGAACTTCGACCAGGCGACCAAGACGAAGACGATCGAAAAGATCGTGGTCGAGGCCAACCTCGACGCCCTGAAGCAGATCGTTCCTCTCTTCGAGACGCTCGTTGCCTCGCCCGCGACCAGCGACCCAAAGATCGCTGCGTCCAACCGCCAGTTTTTGGCGGGCTTGCTCCTGTCTATCGTTCGGTCGCGCGCCTCGGCCGGCGGTGAGGCCGAGGGCGGCATGCAGGATATCCTCGAGCACATTCTGTTCATCTTTGTGCGCTTTGCGTACTTTGTGGACAAGGACGGTGGTGCGCAGGGCGCGAACCCGGCTTTCACGCAGCAAACCCAGGAGCTGTTCCGCAACAGGATCAACTCGTGTCTGAACGCGCTCATTGCGTCTCAGAAGTACGCCACCACCCTGCCCTACGCTGTTGTTCGCAAGATCCGCGACGCGGCAAAGTCTGAGGAGTACGGGAAGTTCATCATCGACATGGACGACACCCTCCGTGAGTCGATCAAGACCGCTTTTAAGTCGTTGAAGAAGCTTTCTAGCAAGGTATGGCTTTAGTACAGATCCCTACATAGCATTTCTCTAACTATCAACAGGAAAAGAAAGACGAGTCTACCGGAGTGGACGCCTTCAAATTGCTTTATTCGATGACTATCCTGCAGGTTTACAATGGCGATGCAGACGCCGTATCTATGCTGGAAGAACTCGACTTTTGCTTCTCCAAGATCTACGGCGACAAGAAGTCCAAGGACGAAGATGCATCCGATGCATCCGATGCGCTTGTTGAAATCCTCCTGAGCTTTGCCTCGAAACAATCCCAGCTCTTCCGTCGGATGAGCGAGCAGGTGTTTGGCGCATTCGCGGACAAGATTACCGAGACCGGACTGGATTCTCTGACTTCTGTACGTTTCTTTTCCCAAATGGACCCTGTCGACCATAACTAATACCCCGCGATAGATCCTCGAAGCAAAGGAGAGTCTTGCCGGTCAGCAAGAGATGTTCGACCAGCAGGATGACGAGGGCGACGAAGAGATGATGGATGTCGACGAAGAAGACAGTGACGTGGAGGTCATCGACGCCGAGGCCTCCGGAAGCGACGACGATGACGGCTCTGAAGCGGAGGAAGACGACGATGTCACCGGCAACGACGACGAGGAGGCCGTGTTCGAGGCCAAGTTGGCCGAGGCGCTTGGAACCCACCGCGCGGACCAAGACCTGAACGCCGAGTCGTCAGATTCCGACGCGGACATGGACGACGACGAGATGGAGAAGGTGGACAATGCGCTCGTCAAGGTGTTCCAGGCGCGCCGGGACGCCCTGGGCCAGAAGAAGGACAAGAAAGACGCCAAGGAGAACATGGTCAACTTCAAGAACCGCGTGCTGGACCTGCTCGAGATCTACGTCAAGAAATGCCACTCGAAGCTCCTGGCGCTCGACCTGCTGCTTCCGCTGCTGCGGCTGACCCGTCTGTCGAGTACCAAGCAGGTCTCCAACAAGGCCAACGCCGTGCTCCGCGAATACACCAAGCTCTGCAAGGGCTCTGCGCTGCCCGCGATCCAGGAGACGGAGCCCGTGTGGGAGCTGCTGCAGGCCATCCATAAGGAGGCGACGCACAGCGGCCCGCCGGCGCATGCGTCGGCGTGCAGCCAGGCGAGTCTGCTGGTGGTGAAGGTGTTGGTGGCGCACGACAAGGACACAGTGGCGGGCGTGGTGGACGTCTACGCCGCCACGCGCAAGGAACAGCTCCTCAGCAAGAAGTGCCACGTGCAGCCGTCGTTCTTCACGGACTGGAACAACTGGTGTGTGTCTGCCGGCAAGCAGCTCAAGAGCAAGAAGTAGCTGCTCCTGTACAATAATACGCCCATTCATAGAATTCATTACATAGCTTCGTAACCTGATTCCCCCAAAGACCTCATACACGTGCCGTGATCAAAAACCCTTTATATACCGATGCGTGTTCGTCTCCTCGAGCACCTCAAACCTCATCCCCACCTCGATGTCACCCTCGTTGCGCGGTGCACTCAACATCCCGAAACACGGCTTATACTTCATGCCCTCATCGATGCGCCGGTAGCTCATCAGCGTATCCCACGGCTGAGTCTTATGCTTCTCAGCCGTATCCGGGTCCACATTCGGCACCTGGCAGCGTGCACAGCGCGCCACAACATCCAAGTCCAGCGGGCGCGCCGCATTCTCACCCCAGATACGGACAAGCTTCCACGAGTCCTCAGACCATGGCACGCTCCCCTTGATAATGATATTCGGCCGGAACCGCTCAATGGTGATCGGGTCCGCACCAGTCGCCGCCAGCCGCGAATTCAGCTCTGCGATAGACGCCTCACTCGCGATGAGGACCGGATGCACATCGGAGAAGCCGACGCTCTGCTCGCGGCCCAGCAGGCGCGGATCGCCGTTGCCCTGCAGGATGCGCGGGGTGGGGCCCTTGTAGACGAGGGCGACGTCACGGCGTAGGAACTCGGAGAACAGCGCGTTGACGTCTGCGCCGTAGATGTATCCGTCCGTGACGGTGTCCCACACCTTGACTGAGGCGAGGGTGGTGTTTGCGGCCAGCCAGGCGGCGTCGGGATGCGCTGGAATGCGCACGGTCTTGTGGGTGGGCGCGCCGCTGATGCTGATCAGCAGCGATGCGCCGTCCGGGCTGAGCGCCGTGTTGATGAGGGTCATCTCGGGGATTTGCCGGATGGTCAGGAACTCGTTTGTGGCGGCATCTACGAGCATCCAACGGCGGTCGAGGTCGAGACCTTGTGATAGTAGCTTGGTGCGAGGAAGTTGGAAACCCCGGCAGGACTTGATGGGATAGACGCGCAGAGCGATGACCTCGCTGGTGGCATGGGTGGTGCTTCTTCCGAATCGTTGAAGGATGCTGGACCGGTTGACCTGGGCCCAGCCGGCGAATCGGGAGAAGAGAAATACGGGGACTAGGAGGAGTAGCAGGAGGACTGCTACCGAGAGGATTGTTGGGTCTGACATTGTGAGGGTTGCGAGGTGTGATGCGGTGAGAAACTAAAAGCATCGGGGAGAAGTTGAACAATTATATAGTGAGAGTCGGAGTGCTGATGGCGCTAACCGCCTTGGGCCGGAGTGGGCCCACTTCTCCAACCGACTTCCCAAAGCGGAAATCTTATCATCCCAGTGAGTTGCCCAACAATTAGTATTGACCTAGTTGATTGCATCTCTAGATAAGCCGTAGGTGGGTAGATAGATCGCTCATGATATATAGGAAGAACTAAGGAGCCGGATAGTCGTCATGAAAATGCAGCAGTCAAATCGCCAGACTTGTTCTAGACCGACTGGTCGATCCAGCGCTGTATTAGCGCCTGGATCAATGCGATGGCGGCATCCCGGCCCTTCTGCACGTCGGCGTCATTACAGCCTGCCGGCACATGGAAAAAGACAACATTACGATCGTGGCCTTCTCGGAAGGCCAGCGCCATGCTCGCATAGTAGATAAACTCGCACAGGTAACGGCCGGCGTCGTGCGAGATGCGAACGTCCGTTCCTGGGGCCGCAAAGGCCTTCCACGATTTCAGAAAGTCGTCATCCGGAGGATGAGGGTTCAACAGTTGCTTCGATGGACTGGTGGATGTTATCTGTGTCGTGGTGCTTCCACGCCCAGGTCGGAGGACCGGGGGGAGGCCGAGATCCCTCCAGATCCGCTCACCGTCTTCATATCCGGCGCGACCTTTAATGTCCGACATATGGTAAGAGTCCCGGTGGGCCTGTGTTTCCACGGAATAGTACGATCGCGTTGCTGCAATGCCCATGTGGATTACAATATCCGGCCGGCGGCCGCCATGCGTCCTGACATAATCTTCGATGATGCTGGGAAGGGTGGACTGGACTGTCGAGTAGGCGACGGGGATGGGGGTCGGGTGAACATGAATGGAGACTCGACGTGTGGTGATGCCATCTTCGGAGGAAGCTTCCAACGGAAAGTCAAAGGATGAGGGGAGTGATGATGCTATTAAGTAGGAGGCATTGACGAGATTCGTTTTAAAAGGCTACGATCTCGGTTAGAAACAGGCCTCCTCCTTGTCTGCGATATAGGATCAAAGGTAAAGTCCGAGGAGAGTGAGCGGCATGAAGGACTTACACCAAAACCGGTCACCAGGACTGAGATTTCATCACGAGCCGTTGAGGGCGGCGGCGGAATGTCCGTGATATTCGTCTTGGGAGGCAAGACGCCAGGACCATAGTCTCCCATCGTGATGGACAGCTGATCTGGTTTTATGGCGGGTACCTAGCGAGGATCGTGTGCAGAGAGATGGTCTCTGGACTGAGATAAGACCAGTTCAATGATGGAAGAAGATGACGATCAAGAAGAAAGGTCAAAGTTGGAGGCGAAGAAGCTCCCCCGCATTTGGTCGGACTCTGCCCAATGCGGGGCTTGGCGTCACGAGACCAGCTTTTTATCTTTCGATCGATCGACAATGAGATTGTCTTTGCGCATAGTACAACAGAAGCATCCTGGCAAGCAATGTCGCTTAGTTTCGGGTTCTTCTCACGGATGTCGAATATCCGAATCCCCAGAGCCCACTTGGCATCGGCCGGTCCCGCAGCCACTTGAGGTCTTGGACTCTTCGGTGTGATTGTTGGTCATGAAAGGAACAAATCATGAGGGTTCCATAGGAGATCCTCTACCTGCAACAGTATTCGACCCACATCGCTTAGGGACGTCTCGTTGAAGCTCTGCACAGCGATCGTCTATCAGATCTCGACCTTTATGCGAGGGGATACGAATGCGAGCTTAACGCGTCACTCTACGCCGGGTGCACCACCTATGGGACTGTCCTCTTCACTGTCGCTACCAGGCGCCACTGCACTACAGGGGATAGCTAGTCTATATGTACGGAGTACGGAGTATGGTTCGATGGCCCGACCTCGACATGCCCTTTTGGGCAACGCCCATGTCAATCACCCAACCAGCAGCGGGCAATTTGGTTGCCGGATGTGCAAGACGCCCATCCCGGGCATGGCCCGTCCGCTCGGCTAAAGTCCATATCCACGCTTGCCAGGGTTCTTCACACGGCCCACCGAGAGCAAACCGCGACGGACCCTTGCTGTCAATGCGCTCACGGAGTCGGATTTGCGGTTATCCGTCGTATCGTCGTATTAGCGAGGGGGTCTCCTACTGTACGTCTCCGCTTCGGCTCCAGTTCGGTGGCCAGCGTCTTGTCGGTAGTTTAAACAGATAGCCATAGGGTAAAAATGTACCGAGATCCCCTTCTTCATCGGCGTTTCTGTGCTCCTGTGACAGGTGGTCTTCTGCACGCCACACCAAACAAAACAACATGACTGTCATCCTGGACGTCCTAGATACCCACCATCTGGTGCAAGGCATCGCAGTCGCTCTGCTTCTAGTCTTTGTGTCTAGTTTTTATGGAGACCTCGCCGACGGCATTCCGTACCGCAATATCCCCTTGGTGGGGAGAAGCAGATGGGAGATTTCCAACAAGAAAGCGAAGCAACGCTTCGTCTCCTCGGCAAAGGAGCTGATGGCGCAGGGATTCAGTCAGGTAGAAGCCAGCATCTTGTCCGCCGGCAATAGTTGCATTATAGAGCCATCTGACCGATAGCAGGGAAGAACAGTCTTTCAGCTCATGTTTGCCCAGTCTGCCACGATTGTGCTGCACCCGAAATACGTGAATGAGATCAAGAACAACCCGAGCCTCAACTTTGACGAGGCCAATAAGAAGGTCATTTCCCTCGATGATTTCTGCTAGCTCAACTGACCCGGGCAGTCCTTTTTTGGCTCCAAGATCCCGGGATTTGAGCCTTTCGATGGCATAGACAAGGAAGGCATCTTGCTGGAGGTGATCAACAAGAAGCTCACCCACACGCTTGGTATGGCCAACATACCTCGGGCCATAATCCGTCCTAATCGCTTGTGCAGGGCAACTCACCATCCCCCTGTCAAGGGAGACGGCCACCGTGTTGAGCGAGAAGCTCCCCAAGTCAGGTGGTAGGTGGCCATCGACTCTACCATCCGACAGAATACCGTTCCGTTAACACATCTGATGCACCAGAATGGCAATCATTTACCTTTGCTCAGGAAATTCCTCATATCGTAGCCCGACTGTCCTCTCTAGTCTTCCTGGGTCAGAAGATCTGCCGCAACCAGGAGTGGCTGAACGTCTCAGTGAACTACACGATCGACGCTTTCCTGGCGGCTCGTGATCTCCGCCTGTGGCCATCCGTCACCCGTCGCATCGTGCACTGGTTCCTCCCCTCAGCGAAGCGTCTCCGTCACCACACCGTCGTCGCCACGGAGATCATCCAGGCCGAGATCCAGAAGCGTGAGTTGATCCGCACCGGCAAGCTACCCGAAGAGGATCCCCCGCGGACGCATGCCGATGCGCTGGACTGGTTCGCCGAGGTTGCAGCCGGACGGCCCTTCAATGTTATCCGCAGCCAGATTGGCCTCTCCCTCGCCGCGATCCATACCACGTCCAATCTGCTCACGAACATCATGTACGACCTGACCGCGTACCCAGAGCACATCCAGCCGCTGCGAGATGAGATCAAGGCGATCGTGGATGAGGACGGAATGCTGAAGAAGACCAGTCTGACGAAGATGAAGCGAATGGACAGCGTGATGAAGGAGACTCAGCGGCTGAACGGGGCTGGAATTGGTGAGTCATTCCTTCTATGACCTGAGTAGAACGGAGCAGAGAGTCCTGATGTGGCCAATGTCTAGCCTTCCTCAATCGCATCGCAATGGACGAGGTGATTCTCTCCGACGGCACGCGCATCCCCAAGGGCGCTAGCATCACCGTGTCGGCGCACCATATGCGGGACGAGTCGATCTACCCGGACGCGCAGACATACCGCGGGTTCCGGTTCTACGACAAGCGGCAGGAGGCGGGCAACGAGCACCGGTTCCAGTTCGTGACGACGAGCCCAGAGCACCTGGGCTTCGGGCATGGGATCCACGCGTGCCCCGGGAGGTTCTTCGCGGCCAACGAGGTGAAGATCCTCCTCGCGCACCTGCTCCTCAAGTACGACTGGAAGTTTGCCGAGGACGTGGGCGCTGGCCGGCCGCCGAATATCATGCACGGCGTGGAGAATATCTGCAACCCGACTATCAAGCTGCTGTACAAGGCGCGTCAGCCAGAGGTTGACCTGGCTGCACTTGGGGAAGGAGCTGAATAATGGGCGGGTTACGTGATGATTTCTTCCTGTGCTACTGTGCTTGGATGGAGTATGTATCTGTCAAATGAAAAAATGACCGCTAGACCACCAAAAGTGTGAACACACTAATGGGGTTCCATATGGTCGTAATATTGATTGACAGTATCCGAGTATACCAGACACGATGTCTTGGATGATTGGAGTCACTAATGTATGTCTTTCCTTTTGCAAGTCGGGCTTAGGACGGGTACAAGTAAGCATGGCCAGCTCAGACATGTCTGGAAACCATGTAAGGAGCAGTCCCTCACAGGGAGCCATTTCCAGACCTGAGCCGATTATGTGATGTGATGAGAGTAGTGGGATCGAGAGTCACGGCGATCTGGATATCGTATTTCCTGGAATATTGCACGAAATGCTCCTGATCGATTGTATCAAGGAGCCTTATGGGCGCTCGTGTCGACGACGGGCATTCCGATGCCGCACGAACTGCTGCAGTATTGCGGCTGCAACCGCATTGTCTAAAGTGAGTACTGAGTACTGCATTTGCAGTTGAGAAACATGCATGAGGCTGTGAATTGTTATGCCCCGTCGGACTGGATCCAGCGACAATCAATCTGCTGCGTTAGCCAAGTTCCAATGCTGCCCAGCCGTCGAGCAATGAGAAAGAAACAAGTAAACAATTGGCTTGAGCCGAGAATCAGATTGGTTGGTATTAATAGCGGTCCCAGTGGGCAGCACTAGGTAGGTACTGGAGTGCTCCTTCAGATGGAGAAATGGAGACTCGGTTTGGTTGCAAAGGGTTCCTGCAGAGACCCACGGAGTCGAAGAGGGCAAAGAAGGCAAGAAGGTGAGGTCCATCCCATCCAAGAGATCCGTCCGGGTCCCTCCCCAAACGGGAAGCGGGACGGAGGTGAGGCCATGAATAGAGGCATATGATTGGTGGATCGCGTACCAATACGGTATCATACCAGACGCGCGCCTACGCGTGTCAGACGCGTCAGGACGCGCTTCCCCCGCTGGGACGCGTTCTGACCAGTTGTCCGACACAAGGCCATTCACGATGCTTTCATCCTTTGACCTTTGATTATTATTCTCTCACTCATTATAATTCATTCTTAGGTCAATCGGGGATCGACCGGTCGGACGGGCCTTCCGTGGTGGAATCTTATTCTGACATCCCATCGCCCCCAACACCGGAAGCCTGAGAACTCATACTCTCTCTGTAGTGAGCGTGTCGAAGGAGTCGCTCCCGCTCTCAAGTGAGGCGGCTAGTCGCGTTTCTCGAATATCGAGACGGTCAGGCGGTGGTCCGGCTAATGCACGCTCCGTCCATCTTGGTTCGCCGGCTGCGGGGTGGAGAACGCTTCTGCAGGAGACTGGAGCAACTACGACCATTTCTGGGAATCTCTCGAGACGCTCGAGACCACAGCTGGCGGGAGCGGACACAGACCATTGGTGTGAATTAATGAACGTGACTGGTGACTCGCTTGAAATTCCTGGTGCACCTTTTTTTTTCCCGTGCGCCCCCAGCCACCATGACCTGATCACCCGGTCTTGACCGGTACCTGAACGAACAGACCGATTTTTCATCTTATGATGTCGATCCGAGGAGGGGAGAGGCCATAGTAGTAGGCCATTCAACGTGTTTGCTTGGTCCTGGTCGAAGGAGGGTCTGGAGATGGCTCATGCAGCTCAACGGACGGAGCGCATCTGAGAAGGTGATTGGGTTCAGCGGGAGCTCCTCGCCATACATCGGGGGAGAATCGCACGTTGACTTGAAAGTACGGAGTAGAGACGAACGATCCCCGTACTATGAAGCAGGGAGCAGACAAATTTTTCAACTAGGGTTCTTCTGGAACTCGTCCGCAGTGGACGTAGTAGTTCCGATATCCATCCAGTAGTGTTATTGCTCCAGCCTCGGGAATTAAAGTAGGCGTCACCTCCAACGGGACTCCTGCTGGTTGGTGTATGCTTCTTTTCTTTTTTTTTATCAGCACAGAAACATGAAATAGGAAAATACCAGAAGTAATCAGATGAAAGACTCGGTGACCTCACCTGCGAGCTCCGCATTCCAGAGACAGCGTCATTCTTGCGCGTGTTGTGTTTCGAGTTATTTGGGGGGAACAAGACAGTCACAACAGTCTATAATCAGTCAACGTCCTCCTCCTCCTCATCACTATCATCAATATCGTATCGTCTTCTCAGATCATCGCCAACTCAGTCCAGAGTTGTCATCGCGGCCTGACGTGGAGCGTGATCGGGAGTGGAACCCGCTGGAAAAGCGAAATCGTTTAGGCCCGGCGAGGGGGCAACTCTGAACTAACTGACCTGGCGGCTGCCCCGACTCCCGCCCATTTTCTCTCCGTCTCTCGCTCTCCCTCTCTTCCCTTGCATCCCCCATCGTTTCCACCTCACCTTTCCCCCCTCCCCTCGTGCACCGCCCTTTTTTCCCTACGAGCGCGTGGCTCGTAGACTTCCGTCCCTTCTGTTGTTTTCTTTTCCTTTTCTTTTGTGTTGGTCTGGCGTTTTTGTGTGTCAATGTCGAGAGCTCTCCGTCGCCGTACGAGTGATTGATCCGATATCTACTTCATCCGTACCCGAATGGAGCCCGCGATTGCCCTGTCGCATCGCTTCTTCATTCACACGAACTCGGTCTCTTGTTAATTCATCCGACCACTCACATCTTGACGAGTTGTATTTCCTTCTTTCTGTTTGTGCCGTTGTTTCTTTGCAGTTCAGTTACGATTCACGAACTTCCCCCCTGTTACGCGCCCACGATCTCGCCGAGATCTCTCGAGTCAAGAAAAACCCCAATCAACCCAACACCTCCCCATTGTCTTTGCTTTTCTGATTGATCGTCCTTGGGATTCCCTCTGAATATTGCGCCGGCACCTCCGTTCACGCAATCAAGAAAACAACGACGCGGTGTGTGAGATTCGACACCAGGTTCGCGCGGCGCCACCAACCTCGAGAACGTCCGATTCAACTGTGCGCAAAGCTTTCGTCCGAGCGAAATGATCTAGATATAGACAACTTCATCTGATCTCTGCCGCTCAAGTCCATACCGCAGAGACCTCGTTGATTTCGTATCCGCGGAAGTTACCTCAGGCTACCTCGCGCACCATGGCTTTTCGACGACAGCCCGGGCTTTCGCGCACCCTGCCGAAGAATTTCACCTTCCCTTCGGTCGCGGCCGAAGAGCCCAGAACGCCGGAACACACATCGATTCGCCTGGACACGCCTCCACCGCCTCCGCGTCACTCGAGTTGTCGCGTGCGCCGATCGCGCGTGCGTTCAGGAACCGATGTGTTCGCGCAAGCCGAGTATGATCGGACCACCTGGAAATCCAATCACTCCGACATCCCCTTACCGTCTATCGAATTTCCTCCTTCGCATGGCTCTGCGATCCCGCAGCTGGCTCCGATCGCGCCCGCGAGCAATGACCAGTTCTTGGCCCCTCCGCGGGATCGTGTGGCCCTCAAGACCCCACCCGCCCAGATCCGCCCTGACCCCATCGATCTCACGCCCACCGGACTGTGGTCCATGGGAGAACCGCAAGCATTGGGAGAATCCATCACACGCCCCGGGTCGGCTTGTTCGCAGGCATCGGATTCGTCTGTCTCATCCATTGAGACCTTTGCGTCCCGTCGCTCTGTCGGCGGAAGCTGCACCAGCGCAGAGAGCGATGCGCATGACCCCTTTTTCCATCTGGAGATTGCGCCGAAGCATGTCCCTGAGCCCCCGCTCCCCATCGCGCGCCCAGCCAAGCCTCGCGCGCCTCGGACACGAGAGCGATGGACCCTGGACATGGACAATCACCTGTGGAACACCTATCAAATGTACATTCAGGACCCGACGATTACCCCCTTCAAGATGACGCCGGGCAGCATTCCTCCATTGGGCGTGACGCATCGCGTTGCGCGACAGGCGAAGAGAACCTGGGAAAGGAGGCGCTTCAAACCCAGCAGACGGTCTCCATTCACACCTCAACCGTGTCGCAGCGGCGATTCTACCCCTACACCAAGGGCGGAAGCCGCCAAACCCTTATGGCCCAAGTCTGAATCCTCGACCCGGCGCAGACTGAAACTGCTGTGCAAGAAGAAGTTCTCCATCGCTCCACACTACCAGAGAATGATGCAATCGCGCAGCCCAACGCCGTATTTGGACATGTTCTCCCGTTCCTCACGAGAATCCTCTCAAGTCGATGGCAGTGGCACTTCCGCTGCGTATGCCACGCGGGATTTGGGCGTATCCCTGGTCTCCTCGTCGATCCCAGGGCCTTTGTCGCAGTTGGCCGTGGAGGACTCTTCTCCGCAGAACGGTAGCGGCCAGTGGTTTAACCATCCCGTTCCCGTGCCCGGGTCAGAACATGAGATGGAAGAAGATGCCTTGCCCAAGAGACCGTACAGTTTCGACGAAAGAGAAATGGCCCCACGGCTCGGTTCTCCGTTCGACTATCACACGTGGGGTCCCAACACGTCGCGACATCGGGTTCAACGCAACACACCGAAACAAAGAAGAGAAACGATCCACGTGACCGGGTCGCGGCTGCGGTCTCCGCCGCGCATGGAATTGTTCAATGCCAATGTCAACGCGAATTTCCAACAGAGCCTTCCAAACCCGCCCCCACCGGCTGAGGACTCCAGTGACCAAGACACACAACGCCATCTGGAAGAACTTTACCGCCAGGGGAAGCTTAATGAATCTGGCCAGCGACGTGTGCGGATTCGAAACCGTGGAGCAACCACTAGCTCAGTCAATCCCAAAGGCCTCGAGCAGCTCTTTTCCCCGCCGTCGTCCTCGTCTCGAAATGAGGAGAGTAGTACAGGAGGGCCCGTGGACCATCAGCTGCGAAATCTCATTGGAGAGCACATCAAACGGCTTGGATCGCCCTTTAAATTGGAGAGTGGAACTCGTCCCGTTGCTACACCCAGATTTATCAGACACGCTCCGTCGCGCTCGGAGCCCTTTGCGGGCGGCTTGTTACCACCATTCTTGACACCAATGCAGAATGCCGCACCCGAAAACCCCGAGATGAACTCGCTCCCATACAATCCAGCCGAGCAAGGCATCTCTGACGCAGAACGAATCCGCCGACAGATATTGAACCTGTCTTACACAAGACAATAGGCGAGGTCATCTGCCCGCCTACCTCACCAGCACTGTTATATCTTGCTGCCCTCGTTGCCATCTTTTTCTTGACTAATGAATACCTGCACGATTTACCTTGTCATATTAATGACCGGGGGGAATAATGACAGAAATGGCGTTGACGACTTTTATGACATTTCAGAAAGAGAAAACACGAAAATCCGCTCTTCAACAAGACATTCAACGACAGAGCATTTGTTTGAAGATACATGGCATGATTTGAGCAATTGTGTCTGCATTTACCGCCCGGATCGTGCTTGATTTCAACTTCATCTCGCAATATCTGCCATGTTTGTGACGCATACGATGTTTGGAGTTTGCGATTACGATGAAGGATGCAAATTCGACTACTATCGATCCGACGACTGTCTCTCACTCGATTTCCCTTTTCTTTTTTGTGGACTGCAATACCACCATCCCTGGCCTATTCGACAAGTCACGCTGGATCTTGGACCAATTCCAGTACAGTGCGCTTGCAAGCCAACTACATTCCTTGGATTTTCTTTCTTCACTATTTCTGGCTCATCAGTGGCCCGTCTTCTGCTGAACCACGAATCATCCCAATTCTCCCATCAAAAACACAAAAACCTATACTCGGAACGTCCGAACCCACTGTCGCTCACTCGTTTCCTTTCCTTTTTTCTTTTCCTTCCTCTCTTTCCTTACTTCTTCGACTGGATCTTGCTCCAATACCCGACATCATGTCGTTGTTTTGTCTTCCGATGAGCAGTGTATGCATTTTCTTTTTCACCAACATGCGTGATGATTGGAATGGAGAGATGCCGAATTGATTGAAACGACTCATAGATGGATGATTATGATGCTGCCTAGCAGATGTTATGACGACGCAGCGTTTGATTCAGTTTGTTTTATCGAGATTACTTTCTATGCCGAGGTCTTTTGTTCCTGCATGGGTTAGGCCTTTTAAATATTACTTTACTTGAAGATTTGCCACTGCGTAGATGCTTGCAAGAAACAGGATTGCCTGGGAGTGATTGTGAAATGTAGCCAAGCCATCTACGATTGTGGCACTCACTCCGTAGGTGCTCTAATAGCAATGACACATGCAGTCGGGGTATGAGCGCATCAAATTACCTACTCGGGCAGGTATTAACTGCTTATAGTTCTGGGTGCATCGGCGACCCCGGCAGTGCATTCTCGACCAACTCACTCAACCTGGATGACTCTTCCATATCGATATTTATGCATAACAATATGTCATGTTCGTTGTGTTGAGCTCTCCGACTAGGACAACACAGCCGTCCCTGCACGGCCCTACAATGTCCCTCACAACATACAAACCACATCCACATACCCATACACAAACCATCCAGAAACCACAATGGACTACCCCCGAGACCTCCAGCACACCCTCCTCCATACCCCGCGCCCGAACATCCTCCTGCTAATCCTCAACCGTCCATCCACCCGCAACAGCCTAACGAGCACCGCGCAACACGAGCTCGAAAAGCTCCTCCTCTGGTACGACCGACACCCGGACCTGCAGTGTGCCATCATCACGGGCGCCGGCAGTTCGTTCTGCGCGGGCGGCGACCTGCACGAATGGCACCGGCGGAGTCAGACACCGCTGGGGTCGGTGGACATCCTGCCGCGGCGGGGATTCGCAGGGCTGTCGCGGCGGTTCGGGAAGAAGCCCGTGATTGCGGCGGTGAACGGGCCCGCGGTGGGGGGCGGGTTTGAGCTGCTCATGGGGGTGGATTTGATCGTGGCGGCGGAGACAGCGGTGTTTGCGTTGCCGGAGGTGAAGAGCGGGCATCTGGCGTACTCGGGGAGTTTGCCGCGGTTGATGAAGAATGTCGGGCGGGTGAGGGCGATGCAGATGGCGCTTTTGGGGGATGCCATCACGGCGGAGCGGGCGTACCAGTGGGGGCTGGTGAATGAGGTTGTTGCGCAGGGTCAGGGGATGGAGGATGATGTGCTCAAGCGGCCGGTGGTGGTGAGGGCTGTGGAGTATGCGGAGAGGATTGTGAAGAATAGTCCGGACAGTGTCGTGCTTTCGCGGGCAGGGATCCTCTTGGGGCATGAGCATGGCAGCTCCGAGGCTGCGTCCTGGTTGCTTCGCGACTTGGTTGATCAGGGATTTGACGAGAGTCCAAACTTCCAGGAGGGCGTGTCGGCGTTTGTAGATAAGCGAAAGCCGGTGTGGAGGCCTAGCAAGATGTAGACGAAGAAGATAGACTAGAAAATTTGTATTAAGAAGACATGCTGTAACTATGAGACATGCCGCCAATGAAGAAGGCAGCATTCCAATATTTCCAGGAGAAAGACGAAAAGATGAACATCACCAACGCCAACGCTGCACGGCGCCAACCTAGGGTATAAAGTGCTTCGTGATACATCGTAAGGCAGAATGAAACAGACTCAGAGACCCGGAATATCTCCCTTCAATGCTTCTCCAGCTTCCTCTTCTTATCAACAAGAATGGCCTCCAACTTGCGGATCTGATGACCAAGGCCTTTCTTCTCAGCATTCGCCAGCAGCCACGACTCCATCTTCTCCCGCACGTATCTCATGGAGTTCAACACTGGAAGGACGGTTGGGACTTTGGCGTTCTCATCCAACAGGGCCGCTGCAGGGTTACCTCCTTCGCATTCCATCTGGACCCATCGGTCGGCCCCCGGATTCAAGAGAAGATCAAAAGCATCATTCCAGATCTCGCGCTCCCAGTACCGCTTTAGGGTCTCGCGAATCCGGTATGTTCTCGTGCTGGAAGACCCAACCATACCATCAGCAGCACCCTCGCTGCGACGCATAGGAGAAGACTCGATATACTTTCCGAAAAGCATAATGTGCACGATGCCCGCAAGGCCGTAAAGATCAATCTGATGGGTCCATGGGCGCATCTCCTGGATCTCGTTGCATTCGTGTTTGCTAATCTCCCAGTCTGCAATGAACTGGACTGTGGGCTGGAAAGCGCGCATATCAATAGCTCGGCCGAAATCAATGAGACACAGTCCCTTGCTGTGCCATCCGTGCGACCCGCGAGGGGAGTAGTGGGATTCGCGGGCATCCGATTCCTCCGAGGGGCTGAAAGGTGTACTTAGCTTGTCGAATCGGACAAGACAGTTGTCGGCCTTGAGATCACCGTGCAGGATGCCGCAGGCGTGAAGGGCTTCGACAGTTCGGAACAATTCCACTGTGAAAAACATGGCAAGGACTTCGCCAATTCCTCCCTCGCCATTATTGTTCGCCATGGTCGGCTCATTACGGACAAGGTTGACCAGATCGAGCAGTGTTCCCTGCCCGCGATAATCTTCGACAAGGACAGTTTCCTTTTCGAAGATATGGAGTTCATGAGCGCGAATGATACTTTCGGTGACACGGGACAGCTCCGCGTTACGGCTCAGACGCTGGTGTGCGATCTGGATCATATAGAACTCCCAAGGATTTGGTGGGCCTACTTCAAGCTTGATCGCTTCAAAGCCATAACGGCGGGTGGTCACCATGTCACTGACAGGGCTGGATTCTTTGCTGTCGCCATCGACGGACGCTGTCTCCGAGTCAGATATATGGTTATCAAGACTCTCGGCAAGGTAGACAGGAGCATATGCACCGGCACCGAGCTCTCGTCTGATGATGTAGCTCCGCGCTGCACCTGGGAGGTCGAGGACGGGTATGTCAAACGATTCCTCATTACCGCTTTTGAGACGCCTCGCATATGACTTCATGAATTTCTGAATGTCGTGGGCGTAATGAGTCTCAACGTCTGCATGGTCACGGTACCCAGGAAGCGACGTAAACTCCGACCCCACTGCCTCAAGGATTGCCTTTCGGATTCCCCTATCTGTAGGATTGCATTGACTATCCAGAATGACTGGTCCCTGGTGAGGCTCTTCAGAGAGAGGTGTAAATCTAGGGATCAACCCAGCTTTCTTCGCCGTGGGACTGAGTGCCACGTCTTCCGGCAAATTGACGGTGTTGTCAGAGGCGTGGGGCGTTTTGGCCATGAACGGAGAAGAGAGTAGACTTCCCATCTGAGGTATCTGCGGCGTTCTGTTGCCCTGCGCAGGTTTGGATGGAGTTTTCGCGTTGTACAGTGCGCTTCTCGCCGCGGTCATCGAGGCAAGCGAGTACTCGGTCTGCTCCACGATAGGCGTCATGAAGGGCAGACGATTTTGGGCGACAAGTGCGGGATCACGGTACGGGCCACAGGGTGGATTGTAGTCTTCAGGCATCTCCGGGATGAACCGCTGTCGCTGGTGTTTCCCAGGCGAAGGGAATTGGTCGTGACTTTCGGTTTCATCGTCGGCGTCTTGAAACACTGTCGATTGTGTTATATCGGCACCTTGTGAATACGGGAGGGCCCGATTCAGTAACGTCGCCCTCAGTGAACTGCGTCCATTCACCATCTACCACACTTTCGGCCCTCGTGTGATCGTCAAACCCCTTGTGGAATGTGGTGGTTTCATCATCGCCGAAGTCACTCGACGCCGCCGACAGGTGTCCTGTCACCGTGCTCTCGCCCGCACTGGTGTAATCATCGTCATCGAAATCACTGCTTTCGGCATTCTCCGTCTCTGCCTTCAGTGGCTGGTTGAAGATGCTGTAAATTTCGTCCGTGGCGGCGCGGGTGTGGATGGTCATTGTTGGCTCTGCTGTACTTTTACGGCGAATTTTGCCTCCCGTGGGAGAATCAAACTTCATTTTGACTGTTTTCCAATCAGCTTATCCATACGCCGCACTGCGATGGGAGATGTAGTACCTGTTTGTGTTTCACCTCGGACTTCGCGGAGCTTCAGCTTCTTCACCTTGCCAGATTTGCCCTCTAGGCCGTCGGAGCTGGTGCTTTGGTGTGATTCCGGTCCATCTGCATCTCTGACGGTCAATTTTTGCTTGAACTCCTTCGGCAGCTTTTCTGCTAGAACATGTTCAACAGCATTCTCGTTTCCAGATATCTGCTTAAGAGGTTCCTTGGCTTGCCGCCAGTTCTTCTGCATCCAACCACGACTGATGGCCCTTAATTCCTCAAAGCTGACCTCATGGGCTGGGTTCGAATACTCGGGGTATACAGAGTCGAGATTGACGAAGACACGCTCACGTCTTCCAGTACGAGGGTTTACTGCCTCTCTGACACGATGCTCGGGAACAGGTTTCGGTTGAGTTGACTCATTCTCTTGAATGTTTGAATTGGAATTTGACTGGATACATGAATCGTAAACCAACCCGGTTTATGCCACCAATTAGTCCTGTGATCGTAAATATATGGAAGATCAAAACAGCAAAGGAAGAAACATGGACTCACCTCATCCCGAAAAATCGTCATCTTCTGCACCGGCGCGGGCTTCTTCCCGGCCTTTAGTGTCTCTCCCACCCATGGCTTGGCTTCTACCTTGTTCTCCTTCCGTCGCTCGTGTAATGAACCGATGCTATCCCACCCCTTCGACTGACCAGAAACAGCAGGCTGGCTCTCCGCCGAGTCGGCATCCGAGAAGATCGCCATTTTTGGCTTACCCGATTTAGTCTTGGGTGCGGCCGTAGGGGCAGGACCAGATCGCTGGGCCTGGGTGTCGGTCGTCGCGCTCGCGAAAGGATCGACCTTGGCGGCCAGCGCGGGACGCACAACAGGCAACGCAGGGGATGAGGGGCCAGTATCCTGCGAGCGTTGTTCGTATCGCTGCTGGAATTCACTGTATTTGCGGACAAGGCGCTCGGCCGGTCGTGCCTCGCGGTCCATTCCAAGTCGGTATACCTCATCAGCCTGATTCCACCGTCCCGCGCCTTCTAACCAGGCAGCGAACTCTTCGTAGTACAGGGCAAGACCCTCGCCAATGTGATGACGCGCAAGGAACGCGAACGTCTCTCGTGGCGAATCCGAAAACAAACGAATATAGTGTAGCCATAGTCGCAGGTAGCGGGGGTCATTTTTGTAGTGCGGAGACGAGAGGAATGCTCTCACGGCTCGTTCCAACAGGGGAAGGAGACCTGACTCTGGCGTGGCCTGAGTCGATGGGTATGCGTTTAGTGTCCATTTTACGTATCGGTCGTAGATGTCCAGAGGGTCATCGGACTCCGCAATCGCTTGTAACTCTGCTTCGTACTCTTGTTTTATCGCATCGTTCAGTGTTCGTGTATCGTTTGGCGAGGGTGTTGCCAGAATGTCCTTTGGGTCTTTGGGAGAAAATATGCGCGCGAGTTCCTTTGCCGATCGTCCACCGGGCAGGGACTGGATGTTTTCCTTCTGGTTCTCGATGATATCGAAGTTGATGAGGTCTTCGTTGGCCGCCATGGCGGCTAGGGGTCACGAAATGGCGTCTGAAATGGATATTATAAGTGATTGATCGATGTGTATGACTGAATCTGCTGCTTGGTTAGTCGTCCGAGTCGGAAGGTGTCGAAGATGGCGGTGGTCGTGGAACGGGGGAAGTTGAGGGAAGTCGAGTTTCTTTTTTCGTCGGTTTATCGATAAACATGGGAAGGTGGTTGCCGCGGCAATGAGTCACGTGGTACTTCTAGCTGGCTAGTCCGAATGTGGTAATATAGCTCCCGCGCTTCACGACGCGCTACATGCACATCAGTTCTGCATCCTCTGGGAATCGTCAACGAAGTCAACTTTTTTCGCTTCTTTGAATCCCAGGATCTCCCATTTGGGTCTTTCCCCCACCTCAGCAAATAATACGTCCCGACTCAACCCAAATTGCTATGCCGCCTCGTGGATCACGCAAGAGAACGTCGGATGCTGTCTCTGCAGAAATCAGCAGTCCAGGGAATCAGAAACGAAAGGTCGATCAAAAGGCCGATCCGGCCTCACCAGTACGGAGATCTAAACGCGTCAAGTCGACAGACGAGCTTCGTGATACCGGAGCCGACACAGGTTCTATCGCTATCAAGGCGGAAATTGAAGAAACCGAAGTATCTATCGAAGCCGCGAGTAACGGAGCCGGTATAAAAACCGAGGAGGCAGACGAAACCCCAGTCACCAAAAGGAAAGCGACAAAGCGCAAGACCAAGAAGGAAAAGGAAGCAGATCTCATGCCGCTGAGGGTCAGAACACAAGGACTGCGCATGTGCGTTGGTGCTCATGTCAGTGCAGCAAAAGGTTCGACACACTCTACATCGCTTGCTTTATAGACCTCTGACATGCACAGGCGTCTTCAATGCTATCCACAACAGCATGCACATTGGGTTAGTTATCCCACTCAGTCCTCGTGCCCCTCGCAAACGATCAATATTAATGTCTTTACCAGCGGTAACGCCTTCGCCTTGTTCCTCAAATCACAGAGAAAATGGGACAACCCAGCTCTGCAAGACGACCACAGAGATAACTTCCGGAATCTCTGCATAGAGCACCAATACGACGGCGCCAAGTAAGTCTCACCTACAACCAAACCAGCCCACCCGCTGACCGTGCAGACACATCCTCCCGCACGGCTCATACCTCGTCAACCTTGCCCAAGAAGACAAGGCCAAAGCAAAACAAGCCTACGATGCCTTCCTCGACGACCTTCGCCGCTGCGAAGCTCTCGGCATCAAACTCTACAACTTCCAGTAAGCCTACCTCATCTCCACCCCTCAGTAGACACCCCTCAGACCAAACTAACACCCCCAGCCCCGGAAGCGCCAACCAAAGCCCCCTCCCAGAAGCGCTCTCCCGCCTCGCCAAGGCGCTCACCAACGCGCTCGCCGCAACAACCACCGTAACCCCCGTCCTCGAAACCATGTGCGGCCACGGCACGACGATCGGCGGCTACCTCCCCGAATTCCGGGACCTCCTCGCGCTGATCCCGCGCGAGTACCACTCGCGGATCGGGATCTGCATCGACACCTGCCACAGCTTCGCGGCCGGCTACGACCTCGTCAGCCCGGCCGGCTTCCGCGCCTTCATGCAGGAATTCGACGACGTGATCGGCCTGCAGTACCTGCGCGCGCTGCACCTGAACGACTCGAAAGCGCCGCGCGGCAGCCGCCGCGACCTGCACGCAAACATTGGCACGGGCTTTCTGGGACTCCGGGCGTTCCACAACATTATGAACGAGCCGCGCTTCGAGGGGCTACCGATGATCCTGGAGACGCCTATTGACCGCCCCGTGTCGGAGGTGTCCAAGGATGAGGAGAGCGGGAGCGAGGACTCCGACGTGAAGCCGAAGAAGACCAAGAAAAAGCAGGCGAAGCGGCCGGCCGCCGCGAAGACGCAGACCGTGCCTGATCCGTCGGTGTGGGCGCGCGAGATCGAGCTCCTGGAGTCGCTGATTGGGATGGATCCAGAGAGTGCGGAGTTCCGCGCCCTCGAAGCGAAGCTGTCTGAGGAAGGCAGGGAGTCGCGCGAGAAACACCAGGAGCAGTATGAGCGGAAGTTGGAGGCGGAAGAGAAAAAGAAGGCGAAAGGTCCTACGAAGAAACAGAAGACGCTGGTGGAGGTGATGAACGGCTCTGCGGGGAAGGAAAAAGTAGGCAAGAAAGCGGCGGACTACGACAGTGAAGATGAAGGATGTCAGAGTTGTTGAGTTCTTGACGATTGTATAAAATGATAAGCTGGGTTCGGTGATACCCCGATAATGAGCAGAAAATAATTCGCGCAGCTGTCTCTACATAATGTATTGTCCCTCATCGTGAGACTCGTTTACTTCGGCCAACAGACTCAGTTCAATCCAAATGGGTATTCTGTGTAATGTTTTAAACAATCAAGGCTAAGATGCAAATGCGCCTCCGACCCCGGATCAGCGAGATGGACAACATGGTATCACATAAGAATCACTGTCTATACAGGACATCGTCTCCCAAAATATGTGCGGGGGCCGTCATGCACTTCGAACACATTGGCAACGATCACAGCTATAAGATGAACAAGAAAACATAGAAGTGGCAGCGCGCTGAGACTATACTCAAACATCTGATGGCGCGCCTCTTGGGCGTTTCACATTGGGAAAAAGGGGTATCAGGCCCAGCTCCGAGATAGTATCGGAATGCTAGGATAACGAAGACAGGGGATATACCGCCCTGGTAGCGTCCAGCACAAAACCATAAAAAGGAAAAAAGGGAAAGTATACCCACGCAAATAGCTTGGGAAGTTGGGTTAACGACCAACAGGTGGAGACAGCCTCTCCGGTGATGATTGCAAATGATTTCCAGGGCTCGGGCCGCGACCCGCTGCTTGAAGCTCAGCTTCACCGGAGAACACGATAGGAGGAGCGGATCTCAGGGGGGAGGGTCCGGACGCCCGAGGAGAAAACGGCCGGCTTTCGCTGTCGCTCAAGTTGGCAGTGGATATCTTGAGCCCATGAGTACTGCTGCTTGCGCCGCTCGCACGAACCCGGAATGACCGGTGACCACCTTCAGTCAAATCGTCCGCAGGCGTAATATTGACGTTGTCCTCTGCGTCGGGTGAATGCACCATCCTTGTTTCTGGGCTGGAAACGTGATGGTAGCCTCCACGCTCGCCGGGGCGATACGTGTCCTCACTGTCCGAGTCAAGATCAGGGCTTCCCTCCCACGAGGCCTGTTGAGCGTCGGAGCGCATTTTGGAGATCTTCATGTAATTGTAGGAAGCAATGCTGCTGATGGTGATAAACAAGCCCGCAATGTTGATTAGGGTGAGCTGATCATGGAAGACCACACCGGCCGCACTGATTGTGACCACCTCTTTAAAGATGCCGCAGATGCTAAGTGTGACGACGGAAGAACGCTTGAGCAGGGCGAATTCGGATGCAATCATGCAGAATGCCAGGATGCCAGGGAAAATGAGAAGGAACACGGCAAACATGCCTCCATGAGCGTCAGTTAGGGCGATGAACCCAGTGACGATTTGGGAGGGGCCTTCCACGGCCATGGCGATGACGATCAGAGAGATGAACATGACGGGCGTGAGAAAGAACAGGGTCGAGAAAGGGTTGGCGGTGGCCGGGTGCCGGAGAAGCAGGATCTGTGTGAGACCCCATCGGAACCCCGAAAAGAAGGCGGACGCAATCACCAGGACAAAACCCACCGCGTTGAAAGCGGTCTCTCCTGCAACCATCATGACGACACCAATTGTCATCGTGGCAATGATGATGATCAGCTTGACAGACGGGGTTTCGAGGCGGAACAGAAAGGCGAAGAGGAGAACGAAGGCGAGAGCGGAGGATTTGCACATGGTTAAGAAAGTGAGTGAGATGAATTTCAACGACATGTTGCCGAGACCGATATCCAAGGAGGTTGCCGCACCACAGGGCACTAAACGAGTAAAGTAAAAGACCTTGGTGAGCACCGGTCTGGATTCCAAGGTATCATCGTCCCTCGTCGGGGAGCCGCATGGCGACGCGACGGGAAGGGACCTCGGACGGAGGGACGGTATGAAGTAGAGGATGATGGAGGCGAGAGTGAACTGGACTAGCATATGCAAGCTGGTAGTGAACAGAGGGAACGGGAAAACGACCTCATCTTCGGAGAACATCCATTTGTTGTACTGTAGGGAGGGTGCAAGTCAGCCACGTTGGTTCGATTGACAAGGGGGGAGAACGGGAGACCTACAATCGAGATGGCGAGCGAAAAGAAATACCACAGCAAGATGAGACCGAGATTCACGAGCAGTCGCCGCATGACATTTCGATCTGCCAGTCCCATGGACAAGAAGTCGCGAGACGCCTTCACATCGGCGATGCGGGCATCCAACTGTCTGCGTTGTTGTCTTCTCCGTCGTCGTCTCTGCCGTCTCTGTTTGGCCGTGAGCCCGGTTTCTTCGTCATCATTCAGGTCGTCATCCGAGTCTATGAAATCCATCTCGACGCTTTCCGCAATTGAGGAGAGATCAGAGACATCCGCGTCCTCGGCGGCCTTTTGTTCTTCCCGTCGATGGGTAGCACTGTCGCTGACAGACCTCGGATTCTCATCCCTTTGGTCGATGGACACTGATTGGGACGGGCCTCCCGTGGCTGTCAGCACGGAACTGCGCCGTCGATGGTGGTTCCCGGACGGCGATAGACCCATGCTGAGCGGATAGAGAGGTTGGAAGGTAGGATAGGGAGGAAAGGTAGGAAAGTCAGAAAGAAGGATTCGCTAGAAGAGAAAGGGCTCCATCAGCGGTCAATCACGGTGAAAATGGCTCCCAAAACAACAATTCGCCGTCTGAAGGGGCGGTCGGTCGGTCGTCGTGAGCGACGGTGGTGACGGAGAATGCGTGATTGGAGACGGGGTCAGATGGGACGAAAGGATCGAAAAATAGCGGAGTCGGTGGATAGGTCGGACAGGAGGAATTGCAAGAAGGAGATAGGAAGACAGGAAATTTCAGGATGAAGGGAACCGGACGTGGCGCGGGGGAGGATGCAAGGGCGCAGGATGCAAGAAGCAGTAGCAGCAGCAGCAGGAGAAGCAAGTCAGAGGGAGCTCACACGGAGCTAAGGAGTGGAATGGACTCGAGAGAAACAAGGCAAGACAGCTAGGAAAGACGATACGATAAAGGAAAGAAATCAGCCAAGACAGGCGGGAGAGATTGGAATAGAGAAGTAAAGGTCCACGATCAAGACAGATGGAGAGAAACGAGACGAGAGGAGGAGGAAGAAGTGGAAGTGGAAGTGGAAAACAGAGGAGAGGGAGAGAAGGGACTAGACCCGGTTGAGGCGGAGTGGAGGAGAGAGAGTCACAAGTCACTCCTTCATCATCAGTCATCATCATATCCTCCTTCATCTAACTATGCATTTGAATGACCAACAATCCACAATCCACTTTTAGTCATAAGAATAACAGACTGACCAGACTGTCAACGAAATGAATGAAATCATAACTAAGACAGTACCACCCAAGTCCACCTCCCTGTAACACGACGGTCCTCTCCAGCGGGGATTCGATGCCTAATTCTACTGAATCTAGTTAATATATTAATATCAAACCAGGGCCAACCACGGCTTTCCGGACGATCCGGGGTCGACGAGATTTCCCTCGTCTTTAATTCTCCCTCCGATTGCTGATCCCATGCACCATCAACCGGGGGTGGTTTGGCTGGTCGGATCGATAATCATCTGCTGTATATCCTATCGCATCTCCAGCCCCTTCTCCTTTCTCCTCCCTTTTCTTCCTTCATTTCTTTCTCGTCAGATATCCCGTCCCAACCCACCCATCCACCGGTCCCATAAGGCCCCAAAAGGGGGGGCTGAGGCACCGAAGCCTCACACCGACTCTTGGCAATTAGACCACTTCGATCTTTAGCGATCTTTTAGTCTTTGCGACTAAATGAGGGGGGACCCTCGCTTTGTCCGCCCCGTGATTCGTCCCAGCCCGGACCCTCTGCGCCTCCGAGCATATGATAGGTTTGGTCTCCCGTGGCGGGTGCAAAGAATAGTTGAATGGCGTTCTGCAGGAGATATTGCTGCCCAGGGCCCCAGATCAGATCAGACCTGCTGAGGACCCAGCAGCAGCGGGTCAGGACGGACGTTAGTCATGGCGGGGATGGGATTCCAGGCATCCAGGTTCCGAGCTACAGCTTGACCGACTCTTTGCGGTGGGCTGCGTTTCGGCAGAGGGCTTGTTCGTGTCATGTGCCTGGTATTACTAGTCTTATTCTCGCGTGAGCTGCCCCATTCCCCCGTCGGTGGGGTCGTATAGTTAGTTAGAGCCCTCATATGCACATACATAGACTTTGTGTGGCTCATGCGCCGGGAAGTTTGTAGATGTTGGAGTTGGGATGAGGGACCACAGGTTCGCTGTTTGTGCTGTGCTGCATGTGATATCGTCGGTTGGATCCGCAGCGACCAGCATGGGGCTGAGATCCTTCTTATATCAAGGTAGAAACTAGAGACGGATCTAGACCGCTGGTCCTGCGCAGAGTCAAGACTGCATGGGTCACACACCAACATCCGGTTCATTAGGATTGTATGACAGGCATTGTTCCTCATGTCCGTATTCCAGCTCCCTTCAGAATACCTAACTATTCTTCCAAATAAGAAACAACGTCCCGAGTAGCTCCCAGCCTCCCCTTACCGTCTATAGAATACCGGCCCCAATTCATAATCCATGGGTTCAATTCTTGTTTCGGTTTTCTAGAGGGACCTGTGGTCCTCTCAAAGTGTTCTCAGCTGCTCATCCCACATCATACCCATGATAGCAAACCAATCCATCAGACAGACCAACAACAGCTCTAATCATTCAACCCCCCTTCCTCTGTCCTGCCGCTCCCGGTCCCGGGCTGGGATTATTCGCAGTCGACGCTCGGTTATCCTTCGGGGCGCCCGACGGCCGCGAAAAGGCGGCGCTGGCATTCCGTAGCTCAATCTTCTGGCGTTCCATCTCAAGCTGCACGCATTCCGATCCATTAGCCTGTGTCCCGACCACATAAATCCCATCCGAGAAAAAAAAAAATTATCCGTATACGTACCACCTTGCGCACGCGGAGAAGTGCCGCAGTGTCACCCGCTACCAAGGGCCGACAGTCATCCGGACGGTAAGGCGCAGCGATGCTCACCGCATCCGCCACGACAATGTTGGTGCCATCCCATCGAACGGGCATCGTACGACTGATCGCATCGAAGATATCCTGCGCCTCGCGTGTGACGCCTTTCCCGCGGCGCGCCTCGTTCTCGTGTAACTTGCCAATGGCCGTGGCCTCACGGTTCTTCAACGCACGGATGTCGAGCGCGTGGACGGACGGGACTGCATCCGAGAAGGACGGACCGTCCGCGGCGGTGGACGGCGGAGCAAGGGAGAGAAGCTGGAACGATTGTATCCGCGACACGGGGAAGATGTGATAGTCCGCTTGCGCCTGCTTAGGGTCGGCGGTGTTGATGGCAACGAGGTTCGTGATCGGATCGGCTGTGAAGAGGGTGCCTTCGATTGTGGATTGCTGAGCTGTGGTTATCCGCACCCTAGTCGTTTGAGAAGCAGATGTCAGCACTGCGTCGGCCTAACGCCAATTCCATAGCATTGAAGGGCAAGTTGCTTACCGGGCGCCAATTGCCCCGCTCAGCGCAACTTCTAGAGGTACCATAGCTCCCGCCATTCCCTGCTTTGGTGTTCTCGCTCGGGGTTGGCGTTTATTATCGGCCATCCGATGGTGGCTTCTGAATTATTGTAGAGCCGGAGACCTGACCCAATTCAAAGATACGTCAGGCTGGCGGCAATGCAACGGTGCGGTACGATCGATGAACACCAAGCAGTCCTGTCCTTTGCGTGCCACCTGTTTAAGCAGTCGAAAGGAGACAACGCGATCAGCCGGTGACGGATTCCGCTGTATTCACTGTTCGCAAGACGACAGCGGAAAACGAGCCGAATCAAGCTAGAGTTGGATGGGGAGCTTGGTTGGGCAAAGGAGCGACAGGCGGCCAGACAAGGAGGGGCACCAGAGGCAAATGGACGTCGGGCGACAGCTGACGCAGTCAGAAACACGAAGAGCGACTCCGACCACCGATATGAGAATGAGAAAGGGGCGGGGAGGGTGACAGGGAAAAGGGTAGATAGAGTGAGGAGAAAAGATGTCTCTGGGGCGAAGTTGGATGTTACACTGGCGGGCGATGGAGGAGGCCCAGCCCGATCCAGCTTAGCCCTTCGATCGACACGACACACGACACACGACACACGGCACTCCCGCATCCTCCATCCCTTAAGCTGCAGACTAGCTACGGAGTAAGGTATGTCGACAATTCTGGCTTACGAATTTTTTATTAACCACAAACCAATCGTTTCATTCCATAAACTTCATTTCCATGAGAATAACGCGAAACATATCATCTAAATACAGAGGATTACATCCCTTTTGAACCTTTTTTTTAACGGTCGTCATGTTTCTATATGCTCAGGAGAACTCACTCTCCCATCACCCTTTCAGGCTTAGGCTCCACGTCCAGCGTAGCGATGTGATGTCCTCGTTTAGGCCGAGTAGGTCGAAGCGGACACCTCACCACCACGTCCAGTCCAGTTCACGTGGATATCCTTGTCGACAGGGTACTTGTCGCTGGCGAACTCAGGCTTGATACGGAAGGTGTGGGCACCGAAGTAGTCACGCTGGGCCTGCAGCAGGTTGGCGGGGAGGTCCTGGGTGCGGTAACCGTCGTAGAAGCTCAGAGCAGTGCTGAAAGCGGGCAGAGGGATACCCCAGAGAGCACCCTTGCTGACGACGTTTCTCCAGCCCTTCTGGGCGTTGTGGATGGCCTTGTTGAAGAAGTCGTCGAAGAGAAGGTTCTCGAGGTCAGGGTTGTTACGGTAGGCGTTGGTGATGTCCTTCAGGAAGACGGAGCGGATAATGCAGCCACCACGCCACATGAGGGCGATGGAGGGCTTGTTCAGCTTCCAGCCGTACTCCTTAGCGGCCTCCTGGATGAGCATGAAGCCCTGGGCGTAGGAGATGATCTTGGAGGCGTAGAGAGCCTGCTCCAGGTCGTCGATGAAAGCCTGCTTGTCACCGGAGAACTCAGGAGTAGGGCCGTTCAGGAGCTTGCTGGCACGGACACGCTCGGTCTTGATGGCAGAGAGGCAACGAGCGAACACGGACTCGCCGATCAGAGTGACGGGCATGCCCAGGTCAAGGGCGTTGACGGCAGTCCACTTGCCAGTACCCTTCTGGCCAGCCTTGTCGAGGATCTTCTCAACGAGAGGAGTGCCGTCGTCGTCGTTGAACTTGAGGACGTCGCGGGTGATCTCGATCAGGAAGGAGTCCAGGACACCAGTGTTCCACTTCTCGAAGACCTTGGCGATCTCAGGGACAGGCAGGCCCATACCACGCTTCATGATGTCATAAGCCTAGTTGCGTGTCAGCATATCCAGACGTTTGCATTCTGTCCAAAAAGCACCCCACTACTCACCTCACAAATCAGCTGCATGTCACCGTACTCAATACCGTTGTGGACCATCTTGACGAAGTGGCCGGCACCCTCATCACCGACCCAATCGCAGCAAGCCTCACCGTCGCTCTTGGCGGCGATGCTCTGGAAGATGTCCTTGATGTGGGGCCAGGCGGCCTCGTTACCACCGGGCATGAGGGAGGGACCGTAGCGGGCACCCTCCTCACCACCGGAGACACCGCTGCCGACGAAGTTGATGCCCTTCTCGGCGAGGTATCTGGTGCGGCGGTTGCTATCGGGGAAGTGGGAGTTACCACCGTCGATGATGATATCACCCTTCTCAAGGAAGGGCAGGAGAGCCTCGATGAAGTCGTCGACGGGCTTGCCAGCCATGACGAGGAGCATGACACGACGAGGGCGCTTCAGCTTGGAGCAGAACTCCTGCACGGAGTGAGCACCAACGATGGGCTTGCCTGGAGCGGGTTAGTTTTGCGCCTCACGGTGCCATTGCGCTGACTGAGAGATGGTGAAGCTCACCCTTGGCCTCATTGTTCAGGAAACGGTCCACCTTGGAGGTGGTACGGTTGTAGGCGCAGACGGTGAAACCGTGGTCGGCAGCGTTCAGGATCAGGTTCTGACCCATGACGGCCAGACCGATCAGACCGAAGTCAGCACTAGGCAAAGGACGCGCCGGAGCGCCGACATTGATGCCGGCCAAACGGGCGCTTCAGTCAGTTGCCAATTCTGTCAACAAGGGTGGAATCATGGGCTGAGACACGGGAGAGCGGTAGGTGATTTTATGCGGGCAGAAGGTGTAGAAGGGTGGTAGGTGTTATGACGTTATGAGATGAGGGGCACCCCGCGATGGTGCTTGTCGAGAGACCAGCTTGAGTTCCAAAGCCTGGATGTCCGTCGCAAATCGATTGACCGAGAAGCGAGTCTCATAATCGCCGATGCATCCAAAATGCATCAAACCTGATGATATGGGATATGGGGTAGGTGAAGAGACGGTAGAATGATAGAGCACTTACACAGCTTGGTCGGCCATGATGTCAGGTGGGGTAATTAGTCGAGATGTGAAAGGATGTAAAGAGGATATGGATATGCCCAGCAGAAAGCTGTCCCAAGGATTAGAGAATGGGGGAGGGAGATGACGAGGTTATATCTGGAGAGGGAAGAAAGAAGGAGAAGAAGAGAAAGGAAGAAGAGAAGAAGAAGAAGAAGATGTCAACCATCCGACTCTGGCACGGCTTACGGAGCAACCCTTCCGTCATGGTGGGACGAAAGACGGCGGGGCAACCACCCAAAAAAAAGAGAGCTAGGGGAGCAGAGTCGTCCGGTGAGGGTGGAATCCCACGGATGCTTCAAGGACCAGCCCAGCGATGGGATTATAGAATCAGAATCGCTACGGAGCTGTCATGCATTGTTCTGCTCTCATCAACAGTTGAACTATCTCTACTCATGTGCTACATGAACCTATTCAGAGTGCAGATGTGTCCTGTACGAACATGGCCGATGACAGCGTCATGCATTCCTCGGAGATGACGGAGGACGCTGCGCTGCAAGCTGGCCGGATGGCGGGGCACCCATGGAGGGGCTCGATAAAAAATATCCCTTGGCTTGAAGCGTGTTCGGTGAGGCAGATTCGGGCATGGATCCTCCACCAGGGGAGTTATGCCTCTGTGGAATCCCACGCATTCGGGTGATTCTGGACCTGGAATGACTGGATCTGATTACATTATGATTGTTTTATCACTTGATCATTGTCCTTCTGCTGCTCTTGTTCTTGACCCCTCCGGATTTTAGTCGGATCGGGGAGATAGACTCCGATCTCGCAATCCATAGTTGAAAAGATAGAGAGATTGCCAGTCCACGTACTATAACACTCAGGCAACTTCATCGCCGCGGAGAAATTTCCTCCATTAATAGAAATAGACTGACCGGCCGGCTTGGGTCACTATCACAAGAAAAAGGAAAATTATCCTGCAGATGGAAATGCCCAGCTAATTCTAGGGTTATTCAGCCGGTTACTGCTCTGCCCAAAGCGGTTTAGGGTGGGGGT